TAAGTGCCAGAAAGGCAAGACTCCAGCCTAGGGAAGCAATCCCTAGACTTGGGATAGAGACATAGGGGACAAATCCAAAGGCCCGGAATTCCAGCCTAGGGAATCCATCCCTAGGCCTTATGGAAAAGGACAAACTCAGATGGACTGAAGTCCAGAAGAAGATTGGGCAAGTCTAAGGTGATATTCAGACTGAGAACTCTACTGGAGTTGTACAGGGGTTATATACTAGAGGATATCTGAGAGGATCAGTAAGCAATGGAGTAAGGCTATGTATAGTGGCTCAAAAAACTGTCCACATGTTTAGACATTTTTCACTATCTATGATATTGTGTGAGAACTCACAAATGGCTCAAGGACATGGTTATAGCACATTGTAGTATGGCTTCAGGGCTTTCATTTGAGCCCTATACCGTGGGAATCGGTAGAGATATGGTGGAGACATAAGGCTTATAAAATGATGACTCATGTGGACAGTTTTTTGAGTGTATATTAAAACTATATAAATCATTATTTATGACACCACAAAAATCATGCCACTATGATATAAATTATGAAGTGGTGTCATTATGTTATTTTATGACTATATCTAACTATATAAACCAGAATATCTCATGTATCATAGTCATAATCACCATGAAAGCCATCTCCTCTGCTCAAAGAGATAATATCCTCTCTCTGTCTTATGCTGGCCTCTCTGCTGGCCAAATTTCCTCTAGAACTGGAGTATGCAAGTCCACTGTGGCCAAGTTTATCAAAGAAAGCCACCCAGACAAGGAAAACTCTTGTGGAGGACGTCCATCCAAGCTTACCTCTACTGACAAAAGGGCTATTATCCAACATATCACTACAGGAAAGGCTGATAATGCTGTCCAAGCCACTCATTATATCAATTCCACCATCACTACCCCTGTCTCTTCACAAACTGTGAGGATCTCAAGGCAGCTCATCTCAAGGCAGTAACAAAGAAGAAAAGCCTCTTCTCTCCATCAAACATAGGCAGAGAAGACTAGCCTTTGCCTTAGCTCATCAACACTGGACTGTAGAGGACTGGAAGCATGTTATATGTTATATGGTCAGGTGAGACCAAAATCAATAGGATTGGGTCAGATGGGAAGGTATATGTATGGAAAAAGAAGGGAGATGGCCTAACAGACAGAGAGGTTAATGGGACTGTCAAGTTTGGAGGAGGTTCTTTAATGGTATGGGGCTGTATGGGATGGAATGCTGTGGGAATGCTTGCTGAGGTTGAGGGGAAGATGAATGCTGAGCAGTATGTGGACATTTTGGACATTTTAAATGACCACTTGCTGCCTAGCTTGGCAGAATCAGGGATTGATGAAGAAGATATCATTTTCCAACAGGATAATAATCCCAAGCACACATCCAGAAGAGCTAAGGAATGGTTTGAAGAACATAACATCAATGTTCTTGACTGGCCAGCATAGTCTCCTGATGTCAATGTCATTGAACATCTCTGGGGAACACTCAAAAAAAAGCTTCAAGCCTATGAAAACCCCCCTAAAGGAGTATGGGAGCTCACCTCATCTTGGATTCCGGACTATATCCACCTTCTTGTATTCCAGTCCTGTATCCACCTTGTCTTCTGGATCCCCAGATCTCTGGACCTCTGGATATTAACTCCGGACCTATTCCCACCCTCTGTCTGATATCCTGCGCCTATCCCCATTTAGGCATTCTCTGCCTTCCAGCTTTCAGTTACCTCTTGTTCTGTCTTGCTTATTGATCCTTGTATGAGTCCTCATCTCTGAGTTCATTTACTTATGTTCTGACTTACTTACTAATGTGTTTCCACATGCTCGTACATAGCCTTGCTTCTTTGCTTACTGATCCCCTCAGATATTGTTCAGTATATAACCCCTGTAGATACTCCTGTAGCTCCTTAGTTTGAATATCAACTTAGACTTGCCCAATTCGCTCTCAGACTTTGGTCCACCTAAGTCTGTCCTACTCATCAGGCCTAGGGATTGATTCCCTAGGCCGGAGCTCCACCTTTCCAGCACTTTCCCTCTTTCTGGACTTAGGTCCAATCCCTGTCTCTCCAACTCTACCTTAGGGTAGTCTACCTCTGTTTGTTTCTACATCAGACTCTGTCTGATGTAGCCCCTATTCCTTCTGGACCTCTGGACCTCCTGTCCCTCATACCTCTGGGCATCCTGTCCTTTGGACGTTCCGCCCTCCATACCTTTGGATGTTCCACCCTCCATACCTTTGGATGTTCCGCCCTCCATACCTTTGGATGTTCCATCCTCCTAACCCTTGGACATCCTATCCTTCTGTCCTCCATCATCCTGCCCTCCTGTCCTCCAGACCTTCAGACCTCCTATCCTTCCATCCTGTTTCCTGTAGAAGTATTACCTTGCAGTGGGAACTCTCCTGAGCATTTCCTGCATTCCTCTGGAACTATCCCATGCTCCCCTGGACATTTCCTGTGCTCCTCCGGAAGTCCTCTAGCACTCTCCAGTAGAGTAGCCAGCCTCTGGGAGTCCTCTGGACTTCATTGGACCATCATTGGACCTCATATGAAATGAAGGGCACATACTTGGGTAAGGGGCACAGCATATGAGCTGAGGCCAAGCCCCTCTGAGTCAGTCTCTCTCCCCCTTGAGCAACATGGTTCTTAACAGGAGCTTTGGGAGAAAGTAGCAGTGGAATGGGGGAAGATCACAGCTGAGGATTGCCAGAAATTAATTGAGAGTGTATGCCTAGAAGGATAGAGGCAGTAATTAAAGCCAAGGGAGGTCATACAAAATACTAGAATACCTGGTTATTATTGTAAAATACTTGAGTCAAAAAACTGTCCGCATGAGTCACCATTTTGTGAGCCTTGTATCTCCATCATATCTCCACCGATTCCCACGGTGTAGCGCTCAAATGAAAGCCCTGAAGCCATACTACAATGTGGTATAACCATGTTCTTGAGGCATTTGTGAGTTCTCACACAATATCATAGATAGTGAAAAATGTTAAAACATGCAGACAGTTTTTTGAGCCACTGTATGAGCATGTGGAAACACATTGGTAAGTAAGACAGAACATGAGTAAATGAACTCAGAGATGAAACTAGTACAAGGATCAATCAGCAAGATGGAAACAGAGATAACTGAGAACCAGAAAGGGGGAGATGCCTAAATGGGGATAGGTGCAGGATCTCGGATGGAAGGTGGGAATAGGTCTGGAGATAGTAACAGTTAATATCTGGAGATCTGGGGATCTGGAAGGCAAGGTGGAAACAGGACTGAGATATGTGAGGTGGTGGGTGTAGTCTGGAATCTGAGAGGAGGTGAAGTCTGGATGTCTTGCTGGATGGAATGTGCATAAGGTGGGCAGGATAGGGGTGTATGGATCAGGCTAGTAGTGAAGATCTGGAGGTCTGGAGCTCAGGGGTAATTCCATAGCAGATCTAATCCTGCTTGGATATGGGGCACACAGTGGAAGGGGATCTGGGAATGAGTCAGAGGTGGGGTCCGGAAATGGGCCCAGAAGGCGTGGGAATATTATGGGATCTAGGTCCAGCATATGGGATATGACAGGACTTCATCAAACCATCATTGGATTTCCTCTGAAATGAAGGGCACATACTCAGGTAAGGGGCACAGTGTATGAGCTGAGGCCAAGCCCCTCTGAGTCAGTCTCTCTCTCCACTTTGAGCAAACCAGTTCTTAACATCAGGATGGCATCTACATTGGCCAGAAAAAGCTGTACCCCTGAAAGGAAAAAAGGGAACCAGTGCACTGTGTATGCTGTCAACTATGGGGACACACCAGTTGGGATAGGAAATGCCCTGAATTTGAATCCAAATGTGCAGGCTCAATGCTAAGCACCCAGAAAACTCTATGCCATTCTTCCCTACTGATGATTCATGGGCCCAGGTGATGCTCCCACTGCAACCTGCTCCCTACCATAAACCAGTAGTACCCCCACTAACAGAACATCCTTGTCCCAACCTTCAACAGACAAATATCCCTTTCAAACCTCGGCACCCAACCAGAGGCTATTACACTCGAGGAGCACCTTTCCATCCTGGCCACAGAGGACTCTGAGCAGCTACCTCATCCAGCTCAAATTCAATTCCTATTGCTACCTTTGGTCCATGGGACCCCAGTGTGGACTCCCAGGCACCTAAAACTGCATCATCTTCCTCAACCCCTACTTCCTCAATCATGGAGATCACTCTGTTCATCACTCCATCAAGCTTAGTAGTGTTAAGGTTGCATGCTCAAGGGGGTCAGATCACAAGGGCTTGGCCTCAGCTCATACACTGCCCCTTTCCCGAGTATGTGCCCTTAATTTCTGGGGGCTAGAACAGTCGTCCAGAGTTTCTAGGATTTGACTAGGGCAGACAATGGACGTCCAGATCTGAAATGTGAGATAAATCCAACAGACGTCCAGATGTTAATTGGACAAGTGGATAAGACTAATCCAGACAAAGTCTGGACTAGAAACTGACAGAGGATAGACTACCCTAAGGTAGAACTGGAGATGTAGTCTAGGATACAATTCTAAGACTCGGAATATGACAAGAGACTTGGCTCAAGTCCAGAGGACACAGGAATGAGCAGGAACTAAGATGATATTTGAACTGAAGTATTTCTGAGAGTTACAGGAGGTTTATATACTGTAGGTATCATATAGGAATCAGTCAGCAAACATAAAGGCTATGTATGAGCATATGCAAAGTCTATTAGTAAGTAGGACAGATCACCAATAATGTATATCAGAAATGACATGTATGTAATGGATCAATAATCAGAAGGGAAACATAGTTAACCAGAGTCTGGAGACAGGGGAAGTCTAAATGGGGTTGGGTGCTGATATAGGGTTTGGATTCCAGAAGGAAGATAAAGATAGATCAGATCATTGGAGATCTGGATCTCAGATCCAGATATCCAGAGAAGTGGATTTAGAGTTGAGAGTCCAGAATGGCATATGACAGGTAGCTCCTATGTCCCCCTCCCCTTTTAATGTCTGAATAACAGAACACAACATCAACCCAAATACATGTCTGGCAACAAAATCTCAATGCCTCATTATTAGCACAACACTCCCTCCTCAACAGTTCCATTGCCCACAACTGGGATATAGTAGCCCTTCAAGAACCACACATCAACACATTGAAAAACACCATCTCCTCCCCATATTTTCACACCATATACCTGACAACACACTTCTCCTCACTCAACCTCACATCATGCACTGTCACCCTGGTATCCAAAGCCTTCAACACGAACTCCTGGCAACAAATAGCATTTCCATCTCCAGACATAGTGATGATTCAATTCAAAGACCCCTTCAGGCGATGCACATTATGTAATGTTTACAATGATTGTCTACTAACACTAACATAGGATACCCTAGCCGCCTTCCTAGAACATGAAATAGCAAATCTGCACCCATCCACTAATGACCATGTGATCTGGATGGGTGACTTCAATAGACACCACCCCTTATGGCATGAGGATCACAATGCTCAACTTTTCACTAACAGGTACCTTGACACAGCTCAGCCTCTCCTAGATCTACTAGTGGATAATGGTATGGTGATGGCACTACCAAAGGGCTTACCAACTTTGCAGTCAACCAGCTCAAAGAACTGGACACACCCCAATAACATCTTCTGTACTGACTATACCAGCGAATCTTTCATCAGCTGCTATACTAACCTGGCATTGCGAGGGCCCACCACTGACCACGTCCCAATTCTCAGTATTTTAGATCTCAAAGTCCCTCATGCCACCATCAAGGAGAAGTGTTACAAACTGGGGTAGTTCTAACAACAAGCAACCTGATAAGAGTTAAGGACTTCTTGTTGAGATTCTACGCAAGACAATAAGTCGAGTGTTCAGTGTAAGCTAAGGTAGAGGGAGTGCCTCTATCTTAAAGTACGGTTCAGACGGTGAGAGATTGGAGGTCTCAAGTGAAGGATTCTCAAGGTAAAACCTAGTAAGATTAAAGTAAAGAACTAAAGTGTACAGGAGGGCTATTTATAGTGAACTACTGTGCTTTAGGGCAGGTGTGAGAATGGAATGAGTCAGAGATAAGGGATGTGTAAGCAATAGTAAGAATAGATCATCTAACAATGGCAATGGCGATTGTGATGTAATACAAAGTATGAGTTGGAAGTAAGTCTAGCAGCGGCATCATGCGGCTTGTGACATAATACACAGTAAGGAAGAGAAAATGAATAGGGGGTGTATGTGGTTGTAACAAGAAGCACAACTTCCGGGAGACAGATTGGGATGAATTCAACAAACATTTAGTGATCAAACTGGATAAGCTTCCTCCTGCCCAACTGCTTGTCACTGATGATGAGTTCCAACAGGTAGCACATGCCATGACAACCTCAATTCAGAACACAATAACACAATGTGTCCTGAAGTCAAAACTGAGTCCTCACTCCAAGTATTGGTGGACCAAACATTTGACCATTCTATGTTGCAAAGTTGCGAAACTAAGTCACTTATCTTATAAATTGATATCCAATGCTGATCATTACAGCCATGAGGAACACTGCATCAAGAGAAACCAGTATTCAGAGACAATAAAACAGGTCAAGAAGGACCATTGGGTCAATTGGCTTGAGGAGATTGAGGGTAACAAAATATGGACAGCTAACAGATATCTCACAGCAGCAGCAGTGACAGGGGCCTTTCAAGGATCCCAACTCTACAGTGCTCTGATAACTCTACAGCTAATACCAATGAAGAGAAGAGCATGGCCTTGGCACAGGCATTCTTCCTGCCACCCCCAGCCACATCCTCTGTCCCACATGACACATTATACCCAGATCCGGTTCCAACACCTGTGCCCATCACAGAATCCCAACTGACTAGAAGCATTGCAAAACTCAGTCCTTATAAGGCTCCCAGTCCAGATGGGATCTGTAACATTGTCTTCTGTCATATGCCATTCTGGACTCTCAACTCTAAATCCACTTCTCCGGATGTCTGGATCCAAGATCCAGATCTCAAATGATCTGATCTATCTTTATCTCCCTTCCGGAATCCAAACCCTATATCAGCGCCCAACTCCATTTAGACTGCCCCTGTCTCTGGACTCTGGTTAACCATGTTTCCCTTTTGATTATTGATCCATTACATACATTTCATTTCTGGTGTTCATTATTTGTGATCTGTCCTACTTACTAATAGACTCTGCATATGCTTCGTACATAGCCTTTATGTTTGCTGACTGATTCCTATATGATACCTACAGTATATAAACCTCCTGTAACTCTCGGAAATACTCCAGTTTGAATATCATCTTAGTTCCTGCTCATTCCTGTGTCCTCCGGACTTGAGATAAGTCTCTTGTCATATTCCGAGTCTTAGGATTGCATCCTAGACTACATTTCCGACTCTACCTTAAGGGTAGTCCATCCTCTGTTAGTTTCTAGTCTGGACTTCATCCGGATTAGTCTTATCTGCTTGCCCAGGTAAAATCTGGATGTCCATCGGATTTATCTCACATTTCAGATCTGGACGTCCATTATCCACCCTAGTCAAATCCTGGAAAACTCCGGATGACTGTTCTAGCCCCTGGAAATTAAGGGCACGTACTCGGGAAAGGGGCACAGCATACAAGCTGAGGCCAAGCCCTTGTGATCTGACCCCCTTGAGCACATGACCTTAACATCTTCATCCACTGCACCAACTTACTCAAACATTACCTGTTACACCTGTTCAGAGCCACATTTACCCTCAAGACCTACTACCCCCCATGGCATGATTTCACAACAGTCATCCTACATAAACCCAGCAAGCCTGACTACACCGCCATGAAAGCATATCATCCAATTGCTCTGTTGAATACTACCTGCAAGCTCTTAATGGCAGTGGTCACCAACCAGCTGACTTACCTTCTAGAACACCACAACCTGCTCCCCAGTACTCACTTTGGTGGACACCCTGGAAGATCCACAACTGACTCCCTACATCTCCTTGAGGCAACAGTCAAAGACACATGGCAGCAAAAGAAAGTTGTTTCAGCTTTGTTTCTGAATATCAAGGGCATGTTCCTGAATGCAGTTACTGACTGGCTTATACACAACATGAGATCACAGTGTTTGCCTGAGTCCCTTGTAGGTTTTACTAAATGATTATTGGTAGGTCAACACACATAGCTCAAATTTGATGGTCACAATGGATCCAAATTCAGAATGGTATCAGACAAGGGGACCCATTGTCCATGATTCTCTACATAATATATGACTCCAACCTCATGGACATAGCAGTAGGGTGTGGTAAGGAAGAATAATCCCTGGCATTCATTGACGACACTGCCTTCATTGCAATAGGGTTGTCATTCCAGGAAACACATGCCATCCTCAAGCATATGTTGGAAAGGCCAGGAGGAGGTTATGAATGGACTAGGGATCATAACTTGAAGTTCAAGACCTCTAAATTTGTATTAGTAGATTTCTCCATGAACACCACCAAGGGACACCCACCTCTCATGACTTGTGGCACCATGATCACCCCCACTGCCACCCACAAGTTCCTGGGAGTCATAATAGATCAGGCACTTTGCTGGCGAGAACACATTGTATATGCAGTCATGAAAGGAACTGCTTATGTATTTCAGCTGAACCATCTTTCCTCTACCTCGTCTGGAATTCCTCTCTCACTGATGTGTCAATTATATCTAGCAGTGGCTCTTCCAAAAATGCTATATGCCGTGAACATATGGCTCTGTCTTTTCTTCATGGGTACTCAAGACAAGCCTCGATGCAGCTCAATTAGTGCAATCAATCACATGCACAGAGTCCAATGCATCGCAGCCCTAAGCATCACAGGAGCTATGCATACCACAGCATCTGACATGCTAGACACTCATGTGAAGCTGCTCCCCCTCAAACACTGCACACAGAACTTGTGCTATCAGGCTACCATCTGCCTGGCTGCACACCACTGAACTGGACATCAGGTCAATAAAGACCATCATGCACAGCAGACACTCACTGAGCTCATCAGCCCCTTATAGAATTGCCATCGCCACCTCAAGAGAGCAGGCTATCCAAGACTATGACAGAGTTAACAATGAAATAAAAATCTACTGTGATGGATCTGGGATTAATAACAATGTAGGAGCAGCCACAGTGTTATATCAAGCCAGTTGACCTCAGCTAGAGACTCCAAGATACCATTTTGGAACCACAGATGAACACAGTCTACAAGGCCAAAGCTGTAGGACTAACATTAGCTGTGCAGGTTCTCTCCCAGGAGCAGGATGTCATGTACCTAGTCTCCATTTTTGTGGACAATCAGGCCACAATTAAATCTGGTAATGTGTTTGCGATGAAACCAGGTCATTACCTTATAGATCACTTCCACAGCTTGATAACAAATGTAAAAAGGTCTAGCCACAACCGCAGATTCAAGGTCACTGTCCAATGGATATCAGGACATGATGGAGTACAGGGTAACAAGATAGTGGATGAGGAAGCCAAAAGGGCAGCATCAACCAGAGAAGAGACCAGCCCCAGACACCATCTCCCCCCCTACCTCCACAAAGGCATCTGTCATATCTGCATATCCAGATCTCAGATCCAATCCTTATCTCATCTCAGATCCAATCCACATCTTATCTCCAATCCTATCCACATCTTATCCCCCTCCAACATCTCATCATCCAATCTGTCCACTTGTCCAGTCCAGTCCACAATTCATCCGAATCTACAACCAGTGCTTGTCTCCTTTCGGTAATCCCCCAACTCCAGTATTTCGGTTATCTGCATATCTGTCCTGCTCCCTGATCTGTTACCTATGCTTCATTTCCATTTCATTATTTGTGATTCATTTCTACTTACCAATCCACATACTTGGGAAAGGGGCACAGCATATGAGCTGAGGCCAAGCCCTTGTGATCCGACCCCCTTGAGCACGCGATCTTAACAGTTTCGATGTTTGGGACTTGGGACTCAGTGATTTAAGTCTCGAAACTTGAAACTCGAAATTCAGATATTGGTACAACTTTCAAGTTTCAGGTGTCAGGTTTTGATGTTCAGGACTCGAAACCTGACAGTTGTAACAATGTATGAGTTTCAAGTTTTGAGTCTCAAATACCAAATCTCAAGTCCCAAAACCCAAACATTGAACCCCTTATATTGAACTCCAAAACTTGAAACTTGTCAAAATGTATGAGTTTTGAGTTTTGAGTTTACAAATCAACACTCAAACCTCAAAACTCATACATTTTGACAAGTTTCAGGTTTCAGGGTTCAATATTAGGGGTTCAATGTTCGGGTTTTGGGACTCAGGACTTGGTGATTCAAGACTTAAAATTTGAAACTCATACATTGTTATGACTGTCAGGTTTCGAGTTTCAATGTTTGTTTCTAACTTTTGGGTTTTGGTACTCAGTACATGAGACTTGGTGATTGAATAAATGGACTGGCAGAGGTAACATTCATTGAAAAACTTGTATATATGTCTATCACTATGCAATTATGTAGCCATGTCAACCTCCTCAGAAGATGCTTCAACCTTCACCTCAACATCCATGTCATTGGAAGAATCATATTTTGGGACCAGGTTGCCTGGCTCACCCAGGTCCACAATTTCGCTGGACATATCTGGAACCTCTGGTTAAACAACACAGTTGTACTCAAACAGGAGGCCCTCAATGGCAGAGGCATCCTCAAATTTCAGGGGTGTGGGCATCATCTCTCCAATTGAGAGATCAATGAGAGGAGGGAGTGCAGATGCGGATGGTGACATGGATGGGGGGATGGATTGATCAAGCAACAAGGATGTTGCATTGGCCAGATGTCATATCCCACAATCCAGACTCACATTCCATCATATTCCCACGCCTTCTGAACCTATGTCTGGACCCCACCCCATATCTGACTCATTCCCAGATCCCCTTCTGCTGTGTACTCCACACCTCAGCAGGATCAACTACGCTCCAGATTTACCCCTGAGCTCTGGACCTCTGGATCCTCACTGCTGGCCTGATCTGTACCACCCTATCCCATCCACCCTATGCACACTCCATCCAGCAAGACATCCGGACTTCACCTTATCTTGGATTCTGGACTATATCCACCTCATCATATTCCAGTCCTATATCCACCCCGTCTTCCGGATCCCCAGATCTCCAGACCTCTGGATATTAACTCTGGACCTATTCCCACCCTCTGTCCAATATCCTGCGCCTATTCCCATTTAGGCATCTCTGCCTTTCCGGCTTTTGGTTACCTCCTGTTCCATCTTGCTGATTGATCCTTGTACAAGTCTTCATCTCCAAGTTCATTTACTTATGTTCCGTCTTACTTACTAATGTGTTTCCACATGCTTGTACATAGCCCTGCTCCTTTGCTTATTGATCCCCTCAGATATTCTCCAGTATATAACCCCTGTAGATACTCCTGTAGTTTCCTGAGTTTGAATATCAACTTAGACTTGCCCAATCCTCTCTCAGACTTTGGTCCACCTAAGTCTGTCCTACCCATCAGGCCTAGGGATTGATTCCCTAGGCCGGAGCTCCACCTGTCCAGCACTTACCCTCTTTCTGGACTTAGGTCCAATCCCTGTCCCTCCGACTCTACCTTAGGGTAGCCTACCTCTATTTGCTTCTACATTGGACATTGTCCAATGTAGCCCCTATTCCTTCCAGACCTCCGGACCTCCTGTCCCTTGTACCTCCAGGCATCCTGTCCTTCAGACATTTCACCCTCTGTACCTTTGGACGTTCCATCCTCCTAACCCTCAGACATCCTATCCTCCTGTCCTTCAGACATCCTGCCCTCTGTACCTCCTGTCCTTCTGTCCTTCTGTCCTCCATCATCCTGCCCTCCTGTCCTCCTGTCCTCCGGACCTTCAGACCTCCTATCCTTCCATCTTGTTTCCTGTAGAAGTATTACCTTGCAGTGGGAACTCTCCTGAACACTTCCTGCATTCCTCCGAAACTCTCCCACACTCCTCCGAATGTTTCCCGCACTCCTCTGGAAGTCCTCCAGACTTCATCAGACCATCATCGGACCTCATATGAAATGAAGGGCACATACTTGGGTAAGGGGCACAGCGTATGAGCTGAGGCCAAGCCCCTCTGAGTCAGTCTCTCCTTTGAGCAACATGGTTCTTAACACCGGAGGTTCAGGAATTGGGAATGCAGGGTGCTGGTCAATGATTTCATGCCTAAGGCCTTCATGGAGGCATTGCAGGGTATCAATCTTACCATCCTGCTCTGCCACACAAGCCTCCAGAATGGTGATGTGAGCTGTGTCATCCTGAATCGCAATTGCCATGGCATGGAGATCTGGCATTGGCAGGTTAAGTGCTGCAGCAGGGACTGCCAGACCAGGTGCTGGAGCAGGCACTGCTGAACTTGAAGACGGAAGTGCTACAAGGGAAAATTAAGGTCAGACAGTGATGAAACAAAACTTGGGTGACTTATGAGCTGGTGCAGGTGTGGGTGCCTTGATGGCAGTGATGATCTTGCTGTGACCACGTGTCTGGGTCTTGGGAGTTGTCACAGCAGTGACATGTGGAGTTCCAGACTTGCCATGAGACTGACTGCAAGTCCAGGCCTTGGATTGGGAGGCAGGGGGAGCTTTGGAGGGAGCCTTGGAGGGCATCCTGGACCTTGTGTTCCAGGTGGTAGAGGAACCATGAACACATTTCAGCAGGGTACCCATAGTTGTGGGGATGCACTTGACCTTCTTTGTTGTGCAGCAGACGCATGATATACACAGATTCCCAGTCCTCTTGTCCAACTGAGTTGCACAGTCCCACTTTAGCTTGGTGCAAACCTGGCATGGGTTGTTCTCTGGGTTGTGTTAGTGAATGGACACTTGTCAAATAAATCAAAGTACTTACTGGTCCAGGAATGAGAATATCACCTCCATCAATGATTGGAGGTGCCTCCACTGGGCTTTTAGGAGTTGGGAGGGCTTGATGACTGCCAGGTGACTGCTGGCAATCACCTGGTACAGTGTGAGCACACACCTGAGTCCTGGACACATAAATGTGACTTGCTGTAGCAGGGCCAAAGGGCTTTTTGGTCAGAACCCAGGGTGATCTAGGCAAATTGGAGAGCTGGGGAAGGACAATGTCCAGCACTCCACCTGAAAATGGCTACAAGAAAATGTGAGCCAAGTCAAAGACAAACCAGATGACATACCTGAATACTCATGTCTTCCTCATCTTCTGAGTCCACTAGGGGCTTGGATGTCACCCAGTGAGATGACTTCACATGCTTGCAAGTCTTCATCGCAGACTTCAGTGGTTGGGAGGAGAGTCTCAAAATCATGGGAGACTTCCTCTTCCAACTCCCTTCCACCTTGGGCTCCAGGTCAGCATTGATGGCCTTACCTTTCCCCTTGTCCTGGAACTTGGTAGTGGTGCTGGTGGAGGGACTGGCAACATTGCTGGTGTGGATGGGTGGGGAGGGAAGGTCCACTGGAATCAGACCTGTGGAGGGGGGAGCAGCAACTGGGAGATCAAAGGTATGGTCACCTAAGGCCTCCCAAGCAAGGAGCTTGGGGCACCAGATGTGCTTCAAGAGACAGGGATCATCATACCTGATGTTGTGCCAGTTGGGCCAGACCTGGGGAGTCATGTCCCAGACACACAATAGCTCCTTGGAGCATGAAAGCACAATGCCAGGCAGGGGTCCAGTCTGATAGTCCTTGATCACTTGAGCCTGCCTGGATGTTAGAGAGAAAAAAAGAAAAGAAAAAAGAAAGCTACATACCACAAGCGAACTGACCTGTGTTATCAGAGAAAAGTGGCTGTTACCTGGGGAAATCTGCTGGGCACCGCTGATGATGGCCATGATCTGGGCAGTGGATGCCTTGAGACTGGTCAAAGAGTTATCAACTGGAGTGGACATGATGATTGAGTTGAGAGATTTAAAGATCTTGAAATCGGGTTGAAATCAGTTATCACAAGGATGAAGTTTCAAAAGAAACAAGACATTTGATGGACATTTGATAAAATCATTGATTGTTTGTCTTTGTTTGGTCCCGGTTCAACTTCCAGCAATCACCGGTTTTGTGTTGAACTTCGAAGTTTTTCAATTATCAGTCAACAAATCAATAAGTTTTCCACACAACATGAGTCCACAGTCAGCTGTTCAATTCAATGACCCTCCAGTGACCAACTACAATTCAATGGATGTGGATGAGTCCTCTGTGTCCCAATTATCACTAGGTATGTTGTATTTTTATCATGCCTTATCTATTTACCGGGTATCCCTTCTGTACAGTGAGAATTGAACTTTGGTGTTCAACACTGCACATGGGACTGCTGTCCCTTCATGTGCTGTCGAAGGACCTGGCTAAGTTAATCACATAGATTGGTTTAGCGAGCCTCCCAAGAACTCACACGTTATCTACCATGAAAGAAGAAAAGTCATAGACCATGTTAATCGAGGACTGGCAAGAAGTCTTATCCTAGTGTAATTGTGGTGTCATTACATTTTACACGCATTTATATAAGACCCTTGGTTATTAAGACAACACATGTCAAGCCTGCTGGTGCTGATGATAATTGGGAGGTTTGTTGTCTAATCCTATTGTCATAGTAAAATTGGGCTGAAGATCATAATCTAGCCTCTTCTTCCCATTCAGTTTCAAACCTGTACTTATCAAGTTTTCATACCAGTTACAAGTGCTCTCATGGCAGCACTGACTGGAGAAATTCCTGATGGCGATGACCTAGTCACTCCATTTGATCTATGGGCTCATTTGAACTTATCCCCTCTCTCATCTAAAGGACCTGCATACTTTAACACAACTTGATCATGATGCTATTGATATCTCAGTATAACTATTGCATGTGGTTACACTTGCAGTCTGTCACTTCACATTCTCAATTGCAGCATCATGTATCCTACTACATTACCTTTATGGCAGCTCACATCAACCCTCGCTCAATTGACAATTATCTCTCATGTATCTGTTGTCTCCATATCACTCGCTTCATCATCACTTGTGTCCTCACTCTTGAGCTCCTGCAGCTCAGCAAATTCTGAGAAAAGACAGCAATGAGCTTAATGGGACTGACAGCTTGCTGCTGCTAAGGATCTATGTAGTTGACATGCTTATTTGCCATGTAAAACGGTGCTACATCAGATCTATTGATCTATTAAGTTCATGGCAAGCTGTAATTATACATGCATCCACTGAAGTTCCAGAGCTCTTTCACCAATGGGTTTAGCTAAATGAACAGTGGGAGAAATGATAAAGTTATCGAGCGACAGCTTCAGAGATTTCTCTCTCACAGTAAGAGAAATTGCTCTTCCAAACCTCAGACGCAGTTCCTCTGACCTTCTAATATCCTTCCTCTGATTCGCAAATGTTCATTCTTGTGCCCCAGTCCAATGAATGACATCCTTGCATGTTACGCCTGCTGATGTAACCTCCATTTGACTTTGCATATTGAGGCCAAGTGCATTACAGACTTTCTGCACTGTAAGATAATGAGTGTATGCAAAGCCAAATCCAGGCTCAGATAGCAGTCGGACTTCATGGTGTTTAGTTGGGAACATGGCACTAAGGTATCTGAAGGGATCCTTGTATTGTGAGACTAATTAATACAAGTGTTATAGCTAGCACACACAAATGTACAACAGATCCACAGTCCTGAGTATTTTCAGCATCATAGGAAGGGCTCTGTATCATTGCCCACAAAGACGCTATCCACATGGCATCTTCAAGGGATCCAGCAGTCACCAGAGGTGCAGCCTTGATAGAAAAGATGGATCCCATTGAATGCTGGTTATTCAGAGTGGTCTCACAGGAGTCTGAGGCATGTGGTTGATAGAAAGTCAAACTAAATACCTGACAAAACTGAAGTCCTTGGCTACATGCTGAATCTTGTCCAGAATTGGGCCCTTTAGACACAGGATGCATTTGTATATCAAAATACTAGCCATCCTGTCCAGTGTCACATTCAGTGCCCTCTGGCACCCTTCATAAAACTTTGAAACTCAAATCTGTCATATGCCATTCCGGACCCTCAACTCTAAATCTGCTTCTCCAGACATCCAGATCCAAGATCTTGATCTCCAATGATCTGATCTATCTTTATCTTCCTTCCAGAATCCAAACTCTATATCAGTACCCAACCTCATTTAGACTTCCCCTGTCTCTGGACTCCAGTTAACTATGTTTCCCTTCTGATTAATGATCCATTACATACATGTCATTTCTGATATACATTATTGGTGATCTGTCCTACTTACTAATAGACTTTGCATATGCTTCATACATAGCCTTTATGTTTGCTGACTGATTCCTATATGATACCTACAGTATATAAACCTCCTGTAACTCTCAGAAATACTTCAGTTTGAATATCATCTTAGTTCCTGCTCATTCCTGTGTCCTCTGGACTTGAGCCAAGTCTCTTGTCATATTCCGAGTCTTAGAATTGTATCCTAGACTACATCTCCAGCTCTACCTTAGGGTAGTCTATCCCCTGTTAGTTTCTCATCTGGACTTCATCCGGATTAGTCTTATCTGCTTGTCTGTTAAGGTTGCTGTTAAAGTTGTACTCAAGGGATAAGTGGATCTAAAGGGCTTTGGCCTCAGCTCATGCGCTGTGCCCCTTACCCAAGTATTGCCCCTTATTTCAGGAAGGCAAGACTAACATGTCCAGAAGGTCAGACAAGTATCGTAATGGATCTGGATGACTTCCGGATGTGGGATAGGTATCATAGGGCTAATCTGGACTAGTCCAGACTAGAAGCTAACGGTAATAGACTGTCGGAGACAGAGGCGGATATGGATAGACTATAGGAATCAATCCTAAGTCTCAGAGGGTGACAAGAGTAGAGATGCTCAAGTCCAGAGGACAGGAATGAGTAGAACTAAGATGATATTTGAACTGAGGTACTACAGAAAGTTACAGGAGGTTATATACTATAGGTATCTAATGGAATGATCAATCAGCAGAGTCTGAGGCTATGTACAAAGCATGTGGATAGTCTATTGGTAAGTAGAAATGGATCACAAATCATGAAATGGAAATGAAACATAGGTAGTGGATCAGGGAGCAGGACAGATATACAGATAACCGAAATACTGGAGTTAGGGGGTTACTGAAAGGAGACGAGCACTGGTTGTGGATTCAGATGAGTTATGGATAGGATCGGAGATAAGATGTGGATCTGAGATGAGATAAGGGTCGGATCTGAGATCCGGATATGTGGATATGACACCTAGTCAAAATCTGGAAACTCTGGACAACTGTTCTAGCCCCCGGAAATTAAGGGCACATACTTGGGAAAGGGGCACAGTGTATGAGCTGAGGCCAAGCCCTTGTGATCCGACCCCCTTGAGCACACAACCTTAACAAAATCAATCAATATCATCAAATGGTTTTGAGCAACTTACTAGGCATACAATAAATGTGATGATTTCCAGGGAAACAATTCCCTGCTGGTCCAGAATTTGATCCCAGTAGATATCAGCTATGCTAATGGAAGGATTAGAAGCTACTGGGCATAAGATTATGTGGTGCCAAATTTCTTTGGCCATCTATAGGCCAATAATTTCTGCAATGACATCTTAATTGGCCTAAATAAAATCAGATTAAGGTAAGCACTACTATAATGAGGATAAGACCACTTACAGAATTGGAGACAAGCTGTGTCTCAAGAGCTGTGAGCATCCTCAAAGTTCAAGTCCATAACTGGTCTTGATGATCACAGAAACCCATGTATTCACCTGGCTGCAAGCAATGGCCAATGACCTTGTGCCAATTGGAAGCAATGTTATCAGGTTTGTGAATGTATTGACCATGATCATGTGTCAGCCAGGCAACCAGAAGATAAATGATGGACATATCACCCATTCTCTCAAAGTATCTTACTGTACTACTTAATAAACTCTGTGCAACTAACCTCTGGACTCAAGTGTGTGACCAGTCACCACTTCTAACAAATGGTGCCTATGGAAATGTGTACCTGGGACCAAATCCACTGGTAATATGATATGACCATGAGCATGCTGTCCTGCATGATTTGAGAATCATGCAGAACATGTATATGACATATCATCCCACATTTCCATAGTCTGTTAGCTTAGTCCTCAGACTACACAAAATGTACTTTGAGTACAGACTCAAGTGCAATATTTCACTTTGCATGCTCCAATCATGCAAACATATGTATGAGGGACTGTATTGGACAAAAATCACACTCTTGGTTTTGTAATTTCATTTCTGACTAAGGACTCAGTAGTAGTGAATCATGGTGAATCACCATTAGGGACATCAAAGAGAAAGTTGGAGTCTAATTCTAGTTTGACCTTCCAAATTCAATCTTGATGTTAATTTTTGATTTTTGCTTTTGAAAACACTGCTTCCTCTTTAGTTTTGTATCTCAGGCTTGTCTCACTGCAAAAATATGCATTTGAACTTGATGTCTGATAGTTGAATCTCCATGTACACCTGTCATACAAGCACTATACTCACCAGAGACCCCACATCTCGATGTCAATACAACCCAGCATGTCATACCAATACTACAAAGAGATATCAACATGTATGGTGTGGACAAGGATGCACACTACAAAAGACACTCTTGGATCAGTCATTAGAACTTCTGTTTGCATCCGCACATTTCAGGTCCAATGCTTGCAGGAGTTGGTGCCCACATCTTTTTTTCATACAAACACATGATCGTGATCATGTGTAGTAAGTCTTCTAACCACAATGTATTTGAAGCTCATTACAATCTATACATCATCCTCAGTGAAAGAGCCTGCATTGGTAAACATTAGTCTATGTATATGATGTACTGGCATCTTATTTGTTCTTAAGATGTGAAGCACATTTGATTTCTGCAGTCAACTTTGATTGATTCAAGCTGGGACTTAGTTATAC